ATACGAGGAAAATTCTTCACTTATCAAATGATTTTTCGACTTGCAAATCCATTCTAGTAAAATCTATTATGCTTATATCTCTGTAATCGTAATCACTCGTCCTTTAAATTTTTCTGTTTTATTTTTTTTATTACGCATGCATCATAATCAACGATTATCGCACGCTGCAGCGTGCATAAAATGATGTTTATGATGCGCCTACCTTTTCAATGGTTTGCTATAGAAACGTTCGATCTACCTTTATCACCTAGACGTTTACCTGCCGCTTAAATCACTATTTATCAAAATAAATGAACATATTTAAATCATTTTTGAGATTATAATGAATTCATAATCAAAAATAGCGTATGATATGCGTGTATAATAGTTATTTATGTATCAAGGGAATTATGAGGGTGTTAATACCCCAGGGCAAAGTTTGTGTCCCGAGGGTCTTCGGCCCGAGGGACACCAATTGCCCGTGGGTATTAAGACCTGATAATTCCCGTGGTACATAGATAATTTTATTTCCTACTGAATTTACTGTATTTTGTCCATTTTTATAAAGGAATAAACCATAAACCAAAATTTCTATTTTTTGTGAAAGTTGCACTATTTTTTATAATTCTGGCCACATAATTTTTTAAGTACAAGGTATGTAAACTTCATTTTTTTGTTAGCCCTTTTTTGATGTTCCTAATATATATTTTACCCCTAATGAAGTCCTAAACTTTTGGGCGAAACGTTGGCAAAGACTTAACAGGCCTTTTATTTTTTGTCCTAACCGATGAATCACCCCTTTTCATTGGATACCGATAGGACACGAACTACTCTTAATAATAATAAGTTATAAATTATTAGCTGTTCATTGTCTTACTGGTTGCGATACAACACTATCTATATTTATGTAACAAGCTGTGAAATGAGCATGTTTTTTGCACTAAATGTACAGATGCTTTTTTTTTAAATTGAATAAAGCTTCCTTTTTGTATTGATTATTGAAATAATATGATTTCAATCAATGAGGTTCTTGTTATTTAAGTCTAAGTTAATATTAAATGGCGTGGGAATGTGGCGAACCCATCGCTCACGATTCCAAAGTTCTTCGGCGATCGGCAAGTTGTGACGGGATCAGGCTAGTGTAGTCTGGAAGCACTTAGTGTCCTTAGTGACAAAGCAGCACGGAGGCGGCGGATAGCATGATCGCCGTTCTGTTCAAGGATTGGCTGTAGAACAACTCGTGATTGAGCAACGCTATTCAGGATCCGCACTGTTCACCCTGATAGGAAGGGGCTATAAAAGGTGCCCTAAATATAGCCAGTTAACTACTGCCCGACTGGATAACCGCGTCCAGAGGGTGCACCCCATGCGGTCCAAACAAAACAAAGCAAAATCAATCATTCTTCTGTCTTCACTTTCTAAAATTCTTGAGAAAATAATTCAGGAAAAGCTCAAATCCTTACATTATCTTGATACTATTCTACGTGATGAACAATTTGGTTTTCGTTCATATCACTCTACTTAGATTCAGCTTGCCAGGTTGGTTGAAGAAGCCAGAAGTTTCCATGTCAAACTCAACAAAAATACCTTCTCAAATGTCAGACCTATAGAAGCAGGAGTTCCTCAAGGTTCTGTCCTGGCTCCACTGCTCTATAATATTTACACGGCTGACATCCCCAATAATCCTCATACTAAAATGTCCATCTACGCAAATGACACTTGTATTAACACTTCACAAAAATACTCACATCACATACATAGACGACTACAAGCAAAATAAAAATATCTGTATCCACAGATTTTACTAGAATGAAATTGCAAGTCGAAAGATCATTTGATAAGTGAAGAATTATCCCCGTATCAGCTTCTTCTTGGTAGCTATTTAATTTTTTAAATTTTGTGGTTTACCGTTTCTGGTCAGCAGAAAGCAACTTTCGGCATTCTTGAATCCTGCTATTATTATTTTTTTCTCATTGCTAAGTATCGATGGCCCCTTTTCCAAGAAATGGTTGGTTGAATAATTTACTAATGCCGTTTTATTTCAAGAAGATTTAATAAATTCTTTAAATTTTGGAACCTTTCGAGCACCAACTTTCAAATCCGCAGTAAAATCTCCACGTCCGCCAGTACCGTCGGCGTCGCCAACAAGCAGGTACATCGCGCGCTCTGGATATTCACAACTTTAATCAAGGATAACTAAAAACTATTTGTTCCAAATGGTTGATTTTTTTTAAAAAAACTTTTTTGATACTTTGTCGTCATATCATACGCAGATACTATGACAAAATTCGTTCAAATAAAAAAGTTTCTCGCTTACCGAAAAACATGCTGCACTTAAAGTACGATTTGAAGTTCAATCCAGTTTCCAAAAAAAAATTGAGTCACTATGGGATTTAAACTAGCACAGTTATCACCGCTCATATGTCCTCTACCGATTAAAAAAAAAATTATGTTGATAGGTTTATTAGTTCCGGAGTTATCGCGTGGTGGGTTTAAAAAAACACGAAAATAACATTTTGACATATTTGTCACATTTTTTGAGATAAAAAATGTCTGCCCCCGCGAAAAAAGTCGTAATTAGCCATTTTAGATGCACAAGAGCATAACCGATCATCCTGAATAGGTTTCATGTGGTTAGACCTTCAAAAAAAAAAAATCGACAAGGAAGCGACTTTTCCCTGTGTTTTAACTCCAGTATTTTTTAATTTGCTTTATATCTTGACTCCCTTCTTTGATTCTTGTACAGGTTTTAAAAGTGTAAATATTTTATCATTGCTTATCGCCATTGCCGGCCGCCTAATCAGGTCTCGATTTCTATTGATTTATAAAATATTTCCACTTAAAACATCACTTTTCACTGATACTATTTTTCACTACCTACTCATAAAGCAAAATGTTTTACTCACTTTGGTAAAACTTTAATTACAAACTTGTACTTGAGAGTACAGTAGGACAATTAATTAGTCTTTGCATAGGTAATTGTGTCCGCAAACGTCTCGTTAAGAAAATACAGGGTGTTGAAATTTTCGGAAAATTTTGACTTTTTGCCTTTAGATTCAAAATGCCTTGAGCGATTTTGTTCAAATTTTCAGAGAGTATTTGCGATGTTCTCAAGCACCTTTCTAGAAAATCCGTTTGAGTTTCACTTTTTCAGGACCGGACCTAGAGCAACTCTTATTTTTTTAACAAAGTGGAGTGTATCGAACTCGAGATTTTCCAAACAATACATTAATTTTGATTTTTTATCTCGCAAACGTCGCATGGAACAAGAAAAACTCGGGACAAGGAATCAAAAAATAATTTTAACTTTGTCAAAAAACCTAGGGGCATACCAATTTTTTCTTTAAAAAAAAAAGAGAAGAGGAACTCAAACGGATTTTTCAGAAAGATGCTTGAGAACATCGCAAATACTCTCTGAAAATTTGAACACAATCGGCTCAAGGCATTTTGAATCTAAAAACAAAAAGTCAAAATTTTCCAAAAATTTCAACACTGTGTTTTGCTAACGAGACGTTTTCGGACACATGTACCCGTTTTCGGACACATGTACCGGATGATTGTCTTTATTTTGCACCCACACCTATCTCACAAGTTTGAAGAGATACCTAGAAGTGTCAAAGGTGAAAGTTGTAGGTAATATCAGAAATTTTACAATGAAGTTAGTTACAAGTATACAGGGTATGTCACAAAAGTGTGGCGAAGCAATGTTATACTTTTTTAAATGGAAGACTCCATATACTATTGACCAATTGGATTAGCGTTTCAAACCTGATTCCAAATATACTTGGTTTTTTAGGTTTATTTCTCATAGTCCATCCTCTGAATATCCCATTTTGAAGAAATAAATATGGATTTTTCACTTGAATGATTACCTTTATATTTTGCTGGTGGTCTCTATACTCCACCTTTTTCAATAAAATGCAATTTCAAATTCCACCCCTTTTTTTCTTATTTTCTCCCGGACTGTTAGGAATAAACCTAAAAAACCTAGTATATTTGGAATCAGGTTTGCAAGGCAAATCAAATGGGTCAATAATATATGAGGTGTTCCATTTAAAAAAGTTTAACTTTGCTTTGCCACACTTTTGTGATACACCCTGTACACTTGTAATCAACTTCATTGATAACTTTCTGAAATTACCTACAACTTTTACATTGGACATTTCTGTGTATCTCTTCAAACAGGTGAGATAGGTGTGGGTGCAGAATATAGACAATCACCCAGTACTTACGCAAAAAGTGATTGTCTTACTGTACTCTATAGTACTTTTAATAACCATTTACAATAACCCCATCCTTATTTATCAATCACGAATCAGACGAAACAAAAAATTACCAAGAAAAACGAATGTCAATTTTTAATACGTCAAATTCATGTACAAATAGGAAATTCTTAAAACCTATTTTTTTTGTGTGTGTTCAAGAAGCAATATACATTTAGTTACTAGAACGACTGGTACTTCTAAATAGTTATTAAATAGTACATTAAAATACAAGTTTCATAAGACGTCATTTTATCGCACGAGCCCTATATTAGAAAACGAGCCGGAGGCGAGTTTTCTAAAGGGCGAGTGCGATAAAATGTCTTATGAAACGAATATTTTATACTATTTTTTCTATTTTGGTATTGTTTAATTAAAAAAAAAACAAATTTTTCTTGGAAACTTTATTCTCATATTTCCTGATTTCATGTTTAGGTTGGTAACATTACATGCCAAATATAGAAATCTTCTTTTTTATTTTTATTTTTACCATAATAAAATCGCAAATGACAGTTCGATGGCCATCAGTCAGCCAGTGTTACAAACTTCCGATAAGTAAAAAAGGAGTGTCACAAAGAGCTTCTTTTCGAAACTACTTTTAGTGTCGAAAAGACTTCGATATGGAACCAAAATAGAAAAAATTCTATATCTACCATAACAAAATGCGCACTTATTTCGGACTCATCCTGTATAATAATGTTTCTCTCAAATTTGGAGTAACCTAATTCAATCATATAACTTTAAATTACTATTGCTTACCTTTGTTGATACGTCCAGTGGGAGTCTTATATTCAACCACTACTGCAGTCACATGAACGGTTGTGGGATACAGTTTAGGAGAAGATGAAATTGAATAGTATCTGGGTTGCAATCTGGGCAACAATTCGCACAAATGGTCCAGTTGTGGACGACAAGACGGCAAATCTTCAAGAATGTGGACAATGTTGCGGTTCTCTTCTATGATCCACTTCTGGTATAGGGCTTTTCCTGAAGAAATTTAAACAGAATATTTATTACATGATATTACTAGCAAAAGTAAAAAATTTAATTATACATTTTACGAATCAAGATCTATCTCACAATTTAAACACAATAAAAATGGCTCTGTTGAATGAACAACTATTCTATAAGACCTTTATGTAGACCGAAAACATATTATAATTATTGTTCGTCGATTTTTATCCGTCACTTGCGGTATGAGGAGCGAGGGGGTAGAGTATATGGCAAAAACAGGTGTGACGTCAGGTGACCATTGGCATTCTAATGTAGGATGCCACCAGCTCACATTCCTTCCAAGTATCAGATTAAAATCGTCAGAATTTAAATGTATGATATTGTTAACTAGCTGCTTAGGAAAGGAGGACCCGGTATTCAACCTTATTAATTTAATTGCCGATTCGATCGAATGTTTATTGCAATTCAGCAATAAATTAATATAAATTGCGCTGCAAGCCGCAGCAAAGGCAGACTTAAACCAGTGCAAGTACCTCTCGTTGGAAAAGCCCCTCTGGAATTAAGTCTCCCCAGTGCAAGTACCTCTCGTTGGGAACGCCCCTCTGGGTATCTTCAGCCTTATCGTTGTCCAGTGCAATTACCTCTCGTTGGGAACGCCCCTCTGGACAAGGCATAAGGGTGACGATAAACTTATCTACAGTCCCCCAAGCAGAATTGACGTGTGGCCCCCTATAAGGACCCCAGTGTACGAAGGTTCATGTACCTTATAGGATTAGCATACATGTATGCTAATAATATAATAAAAGGTTATATTTGGGAAAATATATAGCATATATTTTTATATAACCTGAGCGAGTTTCTCTCCATCTACCCCCAAAGCTACAAACCCCCCATGTCACCCCCGTAAAGCGGGTAGTTGTGACAATATCAATAAGTAGGTGTAGTGATAAGCTTGCAATTTAATCTTGCAAATTTATTTTTCAATTTACTGAAAAAAAAGTAGGTACCTTCAGGGCTGGTACTAGCCATTGATTTTAATTTTTCTTTTTCAGCTGGGTCGGCACAGTATTCGGCCAATTCCTTCAATACGTGAGTCCTAGGGTTTTGAGTGATATCCAGATAGTAAGTAAGGGCGGTTCTGTAACTAGATGGACAAGGGAATGGATGTTTTTTGCTCGATTCCTCGTCAGTATTAATAAGGGAGAAAATAGTGTCCAAGTTTTTCTCGCAAAGTTTTCCAATCTAAAATATGACAATTTAACAATGAAATTAGGCATTTTTCAAATAATAAGACTTACTTTTTCTATGAGCTCAGTGTTATTAATTGGGTATACGGCCAAATGATCTCCGGAGTCATATCGCATTTTAGAATCTTCAATATCGAACTCGATGTGCATGCAATTTCTGTCGCTGTTTTTGAAGAGTTCACGATTGACCAGAATTTTTGCGAGGTAGGGATTCTTGGCATCATAAGGACTAGAATAATAATAATTCAATTACATATTGATAGATGAGCCAAATATTTAAAGAAAAAACGAGAACAATAAAAAAAAATACATAAAGGTATAAGTAGACAATAATTAGAGAAAAAATCAATCTGACAATTGCTCTATTATCATCACAAGACAACGACATAGGGGCCTTCATTAAATAGATGGGATTTCAGTAATTTGAACAGAGAAATTTACTTTTTCTTTTGCGTAAAAATCAATATGCATATTATCCATAAAAAATCTTTAATATTACTGATAGTAATAACAGCATGACAGCGATTTTATGTTAAAAAAAAAAACATGCAAATTTGAACCATTGTTAGCTCCACCTTTGACTTCCAAATTTGAAAAATTAACTATAATAAATATATACTGAATTCCAGATAAAACGAAGATGATTTGTCAAATTTTTCGGTTTTCTCATATTTAGACTTCATAGAAATAGGAAAGTTACTTACGGTCTTTGATTTTTCAATGCATGTAATCTAGCCATTTCTCCAGTGAATACTCTATCAGGAGCATCTTCATATTCTTCGAGCCTGTACTGACGCATGCTAATGTCTTCTCCGGTCGATTCGATGCCAAAGAATTCGCACACAGCTGGCCAAAATTTGTCTTTCCACGTGATGAAATCATCTTCAATGCTGAAAAAGAAAATATATGTCAAACTTTGATATTAAATTTTTAACTAACTAGTTAAAGTTCATGATAGGAAACAATTATTACAATAATAATTATTATATGTATCTAGTTTGTAGTAAACAAAATTGAAATAGATAGTGGGTATAACATTATCAATGTCACCAATTAAATTGGCAACGTTGTCCTCTACTATTTTATCGACGATGTTCCATTACATGATATCGTGATTCTTTATGTAGAAGGTATAAACATGTATCTCACGTTGTTACAGTTATACATATTATCAATTTTTGACTGTTTTCACACTTTGTATTAACAAGCATAATCCTGATAGGCGTAAATTAAGTCAAACCTGATTGTAAAAAAGTTTCATGGCAAAAATAAAATAAAACACATAACGGCTACTAGATAAGCCAACTCTGATTTAAGTTTTTTTTCTATTCGTTAACGCAACGCTAATATTTTAAAACTTACTTGGCGTCATCATCTCCCAAGCCTAATTCGTAAACCCTTGTAGCTCCCAATTCTTCTAGCCTCTTGTCCACATAGATTGCCACTTCATTGTAGTGCTCGTATGTTTTGTTTCCAAGACCAAAAACCTATAAAACAACATGAAAAATATTTATTAAGAAGTTATCTACAATTTGGTATGTGAATCAATCATAAGTTAAGCTTCTGGCAATTCACTATTTATAGAACACAAACAAAATTTTATTAAACAACATCCACTAGCTAACACAAGAAATATTAATCACTACCACCATAGATTTTTTTAATTTCCCACCCATTTTTTAGTTAGTTATTGAAAATACGAATCTTAACACTACATTTGTAAATATTTTTTATTATTTATAAGTTGGTTTAATAGAAACCCATAAGAAAAACCAGAAGTTGATGATGAATCATGGCAAACCGGTACCCAGTTTTTGGTGCGGATCAGAACCAGTCTATTAACAGACATAAAATTATTGTGTATTCCCTTTATAGTTTAACTACAGTTTTTTTTTTCACAATACCGCTAACTTATTAAATTAATCAGACTAGACAAATCAATTTATTTTTCCTTTAACCATTTAGTTATTATTGATAAAGAAGTAACATTGGATATTCCTGAAACTTACGGTGTAATTTAATCCAGTTAAATCAGCATCTCCATTTTGTAGCCATTCATAGAATTCCATGGCGTTATCGGTCGGGTCTCCTTCACCGTAAGTGGCCATGCAGAAGACTGCCAGCGAGTTGGGAATATTTTTGAGGTTTACCAATTCTTCCTAAAATAACAAACCTTAAATTAGAGTTCCTCAACACATAACAAGACTTGGTCATTGTACATTTATCAGTTATATTTAAATAACATTTGATAAACTAATGAGTCAGTAGGAACCCTTTACTCTTTAGTTTTGTAAAACTGAAAATTATGGCATAATAAGAAAAGCTACTTGACTTTAATTAGCAGGTTCAGTTTAGTTATATTGAAGACCAAGCAGCTCAATGAAAAATCAGTTTTGGACCCTATTAGTTAATTTCAAATATATTCCAAATAAGTTTCGAACTGAACGAGCAATTTTTACTTGTCTTGACTGTAGTATAGAAAAAGTAGACGTAAACACGATCACGTCGTCGGAATTTACATGAATTACGTAAAATTACCATTAACTACTGAATAAACAGATTAGAAGCCTTATGGCCACGTCATACTGTCATACACGCAGGCGACTTGAAGAAAGCTAAAAAAAATATACTTTTACAAGCAATGGTGTCAATGTTCAGGGGCCGCCGACCCTGAACCCTATACCGTAAAACTACAGTTTGCAGTTAAGCAAAATCGAGTCTTATTATCCTTTCATGTTAAGTAGTTATTACGGAATTACAATATAAAATTTAACATCACAGGGTTAATCACTGGATTATTTTTGGTGTGAAATTTTTATGTGATTTTCGGTATTCAATATACATTTTGTATTGGGGAAATTCGTATAGTAGTAATAACTATAGTTATGACAATTTAAATTTTTTCCAATTTAATAAAAGCATTACTTAGTTTAAGCTTGTATTATCCTATATATCTTATATGAACGGATTAAATTTATATGTTTTATTAACATTAACGTTTAATTAGGTACTCAAATAAAGTAGACAAAGGCAAAACCATAGACTACTTGGAGTAGGTATTTCGAGTCTTCAAAAATAAATAGATAATGGGAAAATATTTGTTGTAAAAAATATATAAAATAAATTATGGCTTACCATATCACATTCCTCAGGATCGGCAACCATGCCTTTCAACCTATATCGGACACCCTCTTTAGCCAATCGTCCTGCGAACTCCTCTCCGGTACCGGTTTGGCTACCGTAGAAGACTACCAAACTTCTTCCGGAAGATTGTAACTTCTTCACGAAAGAGTTTTCTGTTGGATTTTGCATGGTGAGAGATGTAGGTCTGTAAAAAATAATAGGAAAGTTGAATATTTCTGGTTCATTGTAAAAATTATTCTAAAGTAAGGAAATATTTTTAAAACGACCTTACATCAAACCAGCAGAGCTAGAGAAGAAATTGGCGGCTGAGCTCAAAGACCCGCAAAGAAAATAGTTGAAGAGTAGTAATCAGTTACCAGATTGTACTGGAAACAATAATTAGATTCTCTCATTCAAAGTCACAACACCTAGAAATATTTTTCTTAACAGAAAAGTCTCTAACAACAAAGTTGTCCAATCTTCAAAGAAAAGAGTCGCTGCCAATCCAGGTTCCTAAAGTAAATAGGTTGCCTGGAAATGGGTAACTTGATGACGCATCTCTCAAACAACCTTGGCTGCCAATGATTATCTGACTATAGTCCCATAGTGAGACCTGGAGTTAACCAGTGACTTTGATGATGTCAAACTTGGTCCGATCAACTCAAACACAAGTACTGCTACTAGGAGCTGTTCTTGAGAAGTGTACAGCACAATGTTTCATTCAAAAGATTACATCGAACAGGTGCTTGTAAAAATTGGTCATGTTCCAGAAGTGTAGTGTAATATTGGGATGCGTCCAGGTTTCCAGGCGGAAGTTATCAGAGTAAACAGCTACCTTTTTAAAGATTTCAAACTTTCCCAGGACGTGATGGTTTCTCAATTACTGCTCAGCTGCCATCCCGCCTTCAGGTTCTCCGTAAAAGACTAATGATATGGGGGCAATATCGGTTTCCATAATTTGTACCAGTATAACCAGATAACCAATAATATGGTCAAAAATTTGGATTTGGTTCTCTCCTCGAATCCGGGAATTAAACTGGATTTCGCAGGGATTCAGCCGGAAGATTATTATACATCCCTCAGCATTTTTGCTGAATCTGGAAATCACCCGGCTTTAAGTAGGTCTATCCAGACAAGTTCTATTATAAATATAAGTCAACGGACAGCTTAAACAGGTTAATTCGGATGATCTGTTGACTCTGCGCTCAATATTTTTTACGATTATTATCTATATTCAATTATACGAGTTTCTCCACAATCAAGCCACTTTACCATTTTATAAAGTGATCGTCCAGAGGGATTCAGGTAGTTGAGCTAGATTGCGTTAAGAGTGCAAATACTTAGGACACAATACATGTCATAAAAGTTTCGTGGAAAATTGACAGTTTGTGGCCCAACTGTTTGGGGATCTTAATTCTAAGCGTTAATGCAACAAGCTTTCCCCAGCAATGTAAGACAATAACCATCATAGCATCGTTGTTTACTGGGACCTGGTCCTGATAGTGTTCCCATGTTACCTCCCAAAATCCTGCTGTTTTGTGATACCCCATCCACTGCACGTTATTTTCAGTACATCAATCAGTTCTGGCTACTCTTTAAAGGACCCTGCCCAAAGTATACGGAAATTATGTTTATGTTAGAATTGGCTGGATTTTGTATATAATGTAGATCACGCATTTCTGATTAAAAGTTACCATTGCACCAACTCTGAAAAATGACTACGCGCCACAAGCTTACCTTTTCACGCTACATTGAACGTTCGTTATAATTTCCAAGCGTTTTACTTGCCATTTATGAAATTATTTTATTTCAAAAAGGAGTCATTTTTCAGGATTGGTGCAATGGTAACTTCTAATCAGAAAAGCGTAATCTATATTATATCCAAAATTCAGCCAATTCTGACATGAACACAATTTCCGCATACTCCTTTCTGGGAACTTGAGTACTTGACGCATATTTAAAAGTCGGTTAATATCACCATTATTGATGGATAGTTTGGCTCCCAAAGTCCACCGAATTAAACTTTATGGAATATGTGTCGTGTGTTTTGAACAGAGTTATTGAGTCATATTGGTCAATACAACAAATTTAATTCTCTAAGCTGTTTTATTGACCTATCACCAACTAACAACTCCGCATCTAAATGAATTGTAAGGTCACAAAAAAACCATCCAGTTAATGAGGACGTTTATGCCAGATTCTTGGACTTTTCCAAGGTCTTCGATAGGGTTGGCTAATCATTCTCTCGCACCGATTACAAATAGTGAAGATCAACAGTCTCAACAAAAATTCCATCTTAGGTACCCCAAGGAACCCACTTAGGATCTCTCTATTCAACATTTTCATAAACGACATATTCACCTGCTTCAACATTATTAGTTTTTTTTCACCTGACATTTTATTCAAGAACAGATGTCTGTCACGTTGATATCAGACCTTGATAAGCTTGTGGCTTCGTGAAATTGTGTTGAAGAAAAATGGGCCCAAGCCTTACCCCGTATGAGTTACAGCTCACTATAGCATATACAAAGGATTGCATTTCATTTATACCGACTTGATATGACCTATTGGACAGTCAAATTCTTATTCATTCCAGGGAGTTGGCCTCATACTTCATAATTTATCGTATGCCAGTTTATGGAAAAGTCTTCTGTCTGGCAATGTATTGAAAGCCTTTTCAAAGTCTAGGTGTGACATTTTACTAAGACGCTTTTTGGATAGTTGATTACAATAGCTATGAATCGGGTCTTCAAAAAAAAAAAAAACAATCAAAGACTGCTATGGTTTTTTGAACGTATGTCTTAGCAATATTTGTCCTTAATTTTGTCAATGAACTTCAATCTTAAAATGTCATGTCAAAAATCCTGACCAATAAAGAAACAGTTATGCGACGTACGTTTTCGTAATCAAAGCAATCTTCGATTGTTTTTTTTTTGAAGACCCGATACCATCGTTACCACAAGTAACTGGGACAAAAATAATTCATATCAATCTCCTGGACTATTCCAAGTTAACCTAGATAAACCTAAAATAATTCATAGTTTGACAAATACCTTATATCTAAAATCATATAATAGTACAAGAGCTAATATGATGCTGTCCCAGTTACTTTTGGTGACGATAGTACATGAATATAGCGCGGTCAGTCAAGCGAAACTTAGAACAAGGACCTAGGGTGTCTTGTTAAAGTTGTCAAGATAACTTAGGTAATGCGACGAATTTACTAAGGCGTATACATAAAGCTTGTTTTTTTCAAAAGATAAAAGTCAAAGTGACATTATGTTGGCAATACAATATAAAATTGTCAATGCTTTCAAATTTTTTATGTAAAAAAGGCTTGTGTTGCCAGCATAGTTACTAAATGTTTGACTTGGGGAATTATCTTTAAAAAAAAAAAAATTTTATTATACAATTACACCTAAATAACAGTGATGTTGAGTAGCGGAACTGGGCTGGTCAGTCAGCCCCATTGAGGTAGGTCAGGACCCGGATCCCGAACCCCCGATTCGATAGTATAGTCCATAATGTCCATATAAATAAGATAGGCGATAATATCGAATCGTGGGTTCGGGATCCGGGCCCAGCCCCAATATTATGTAAAAACAGTTAGGTCTTTTTGTTTGACAGCGTGACAGTGACAATTCGAAATTTTATGTTGAAGTATAAATTAATAGGTTTGTTCAGTAATATTACTATTTCTTGTAGATTTGATTTTTACATTTATTGGGGCTGACTGACCAGCACGGTTCCGCTATTTAACTGACTGACTAACATTACTGTTATTTATTTGTTATATACAGGGTGTCCCACGACGTTTTATCCAGGTAACTTCGGAACGCGTCATCCAATATAATTGAAATTTTGAGGATCTGGGTAACTTTTTGTGCCGCTTCTACCATTATCTTCCAATTTCACCAATTTCGTTTCAATTTCGGTCAAGTGACGTCAACTTTTGAATCTTAAACGTAACACATGGTATATTATGGCATTTTTCGTTAGAAAATTAAATTGCAAAATCGGCAGTGCCATATTTGTTAGGGCTTTGTTAAAGAAAATGATAAAAAATTACACAGTGGAATATACGATGATGCGTTCCCTAGTATCATTTGGGAAAAACCTAGTGGAACACCCTGTATAATATGTATAACGATTTTCAGCTTTGGTAAATTCGTTGCATTACCTAAGTTATCTCGACAACTTTAACAAGACACCTAGGTCCTTGTTCTAAGTTTCGCATGACTGACCACGCAATATTTATGTACCATCGTCACCAAAAGTAACTGGGACAGCATCACATTAGCTCTTGTCCTATTATATGAATTTTATTGTCAAATATTTGTCAAACTATGAATTAAATGCATTGAAATGAATGACAGTAGAATTAGTCCAGGAGATTATTATGTATTATTTGTGTCCCAGATACTTTTGGTGACGATGGTACATAACTATTGTAACCAATTGTCTAAAAACTAGCTTTAGTAAATTCAGAGAATTTTTTCGGCGCTGGCTCTTAGACTATACAGGGCAACTCTCATCATATCCATAATTCCATTGTAAGGATAAGAAAATCTGTGCTGACTGGGAGTGGGACTGTGGGAGTAGTTAAATAAAGCGGGTTCTACGATATAACGTTATCGTAATGGATTTTCGCAATCTTCACAGTGCAATATTCGCTTTAGGCATCACTAGTAATGGTTATAGCGTTAGCGTACGTGTGTGCCATCTGACTGTGGGCTTGGGTGTTAGGTAGTACAGGTGTCAAGGGTGGCGCCATTCCTTCGTCATTCTCAGGAAAATAACACTTAGTTTTTACTAAAGCTTTTTTTTATTCTCAACAATCATTTCCATTATAAATATTAGGACTGTGATTACGACTATCTGGATTGTAGCAATATTCATAGTCGTAAAAATAAAATATGTCTTCATTACCGCATACCATTTGTTTTTCAATAGATATTGAATATTTGAATAGAAATAGATCCCAAATCCAGAAATCCATGTTGGTGTCTTAGAAGGTTGTAAGTGCTAATGCAAAATGAAATCTGTGAACTGCCAGAAGATTATATTTTCCATAACTTTATAACTCACCCCACTGACATTAGATAGTGGCTGACGACAGATTTATCTATTCTTTTGCATAGGCAATATGCATTTTTAATACATTTAAATTGAAATAAAGTAAGTCTTCACATTTTGATACTTGTC